ATATTTCCTGTAGTACCGATGCTTTTACTGTTTTCGCTTGTTCACAGATCCCTACATAACGCAGAGGGTGAAATAAAACTTTTACCCCGTCGTTAGGTTCTGTCTTTGTTTTGGACTAAACGAGAAGCAAAACTGTTTCCTCGAATTTTTCATTCATTTTTCAAAACTGTTTCAGTTTGCATTACGGTTTCCCGGAATACTGTTCCTTATGTTTTATCAAACTTCAAAGTAACTTCAAGGTTACCTTAAAGTCTCACAAACCTTCTGCGAGAATATGCTGATCGGGTGTAGATAAATTCTAGCGTTAAAAATCATAAAAGTGCACTTTCGTTCATTTTAGTATAGAACACATGCGACCCTGAGAGACCACAGGGTAGCTTGACAAACCCATAGTTGATTTTGCTTGAAAAATTTGATATATATCTTAGCAGGAATTAAAGGACCCAGTGGGTTTGGTTAGGTTGGCCGAAAAACAAAAAGGGCGCGAATTCATTGTTCTACCCGAATTCGTATACCACGAAATCTGATGCCAAAATCAACCCAATACCAGTGGTTACCACGGGATTGATTCCATCAGTCTTTCAATCAGTATGCGTTCCCGCGCAGCTAATTTTAACATATATACCTGTCCCAGAAAAATGACCATATTTATCCTCTTCGATGACTTTGTCTGACGAGAGCCTAACTTCGAGCATGGTTGAGAAACACAATGAGACTATTCACTCCAGCAGACTTATGTCCCAAGTTTTTGACGTCTTTTGTCGTTATGTTTCCTGTCATTTCTCGGAAAACTGCAGCATCAGGTTAAGAATCCTCAGTCAGGTACTGAAATGCTCGAGAAAATTGCTCCCTTAGATTAGTTTGGTTATCGGTATAGATATAAATATCTTTGAACTGTAATGTACTATTCATAAGGATGCTGAAAATCCATCGACAGCCCACGACCGGTTTCGCCCTTCTTGGGGCTCATCAGGTAGGCGCAGTCCCCGGGTTTCCGTCAACCTTATGTTCTACGTGAGAGGAAATTGCACGAAATTAGCGAATATACACTCATCTGCAAACTAATTTGGTCCTTTCGAGAGACTCATCCGGAACCCAGCTGAACCTCTCACGTAGAACATAAGGTTGACGGAAACCCGGGGACTGCGCCTACCTGATGAGCCCGAAGAAGGGCGAAACCGGTCGTGGGCTGTGGATGGATTTTCAGCAACAACCTTATGAGTAGTAGATTACAATAGAA